GGGAGGGGAGCAATGAGTTCTGCAGCACAAAAGCATATCTGACGTGTAAGAGCCGCACAGTATAATTCTACCACCACCAAGTGCTCCAAGCGCAATTTCTTCTAAGGTAAGAATGAGGCAAGAAGAGGATTTAATGTTATAACCTACTGAACAGAAAGGCTGAGAATGTCAACCCCAGGATGGCTAATACAACAGTATAATCATCAGACAGTGCCTAAGAGCAGAGGAGTGTAAGAGGCACTATTTCCTTTAACTTAAGTCTTCCAGACCTCATCTCAAAGCAATGACATATCTAGGTGACCTAACTCTGAAAAGCAAGATTCTTGGTAGGCTAAATATGTAATTAAACTAAGCGCTACTAAATAAAATAGATAATCTGAGGAAAGACAGAAGGAAAAACAGATGTTATCAAGAGTGCAACCCTAATGGTATCCCTGCAAAACTGAACACACAACATGGCAAGGGATTTAAAGTGCACTACAGCAAGTCTGAAGAGTCCCCCATGTTACCAGGCGTTTCTTTAATGTGCCGCAACTTTAAGAATCTTAAAAGTCTTGAAAACTTGGCTCAACTTATAGAAAACAAGTATCGTAGGCAAAAAAATATTCAATGTGAATGTTTATATCCACTTCCTTAAACCACATCTAACACTAAATGCTGCGTGACTTCAAGTAAAAGGAAAGCTAACAGAGGGGAAAAAACGTAGTTCAGGAAGCAACAAGCAGCCAGCTGAAAGGAAATCAGGCATTTCAACTGCTTGTCCACTTATAGAAGCATGATTACATCTATAAAACATCCCAAACCCCTCCTTTTTTCCAAGTGGTTAAACAAAGATATGCTGATATATCACAGCTTTCCAAGCAGCTTGCCCGAGTCTGAACTGGGACAGTCTTTGACAATCCATTACATTCATTTTTTTTTTTTGGTGACACAAATATTGTCATTCTGATATAAACAATCTCGTTGCAGCTTCTGAATTTTTGCTGCAGATAAAAATCAGTGCAACAGTCATTTATGGAATCTTTTTTAAGTGTGTTACTAATTAGAAAATTAGGTCCCTGTCATTTGAAATAACTAACTTGAAATTGTGGATCCTACATTTGGAATAAAAAATTGGTTTCCCCATTTCATCAACTCTTTGAAATAAGATAAACTTAAAGCTTCTAAAATTAAACATGATGAATTCCCCCCAAATTTCTAACCAGCACCTTTAAAAGACATTCACTGCCTACCTGAACCATCGCTGGAGACTGAACTCGCATTAATTCCAGAAAGGCCAAATAAGGGACATTCTCGATCAGTGTTTACATGACCCCACTTGTGGCATTT